CTTTACGCCCCTAGTGTGGCAGTGGTGGGCCGGTGCGCAGTTGAAGACGGCAGGGTGCCCAGGCGGGCCTTAGTGAGCGGTAAGCTGGACCAGATTCCTTTCCGGTCTGGGAATTGTTGCTGCCATAGGAGGTGGCTTCCCTAGTCCCGGCATCCCCCGCACCTGGCACTTACTCTCCAGAAAACCCCTAAGTCCGTCAAGGGGGCTTACTTGGAATAGGCTTGGAGTATTGGTGCTGCCGACTTCTGCTGAGGGGCGATAGGGGCAGTATCACAGATGCCAGGGTCTGGGAGAGGTTGGAAGTGTGAGCGTCCCATTTCCATCCAAGTTTCAATCCTTACTGTCTTTCCAAAGGCAATATGGTAGGGAATGTATTTTACTCTTGTAACTTCCAAGCAATGGACAAGAATGTCAAATGCTCTCCTTCCAGAGCAGGTGGCTGGAATCCGGACAACATGAGTGCATGCAAAACTTGTGCAGGAACTAAAACAGGCCTCACTTCTCCCATATCGCACTGTTGCATCTGTCTGAATCATTAAAAGGTGACCACGCCCACTCACCCAATGGACCTCCATTCTTGGTGGCCATGAGTGTTTTCTAAGGCTTGCTGCTGTTTGCATAATATTGATGCTGCCCGTAGTGGGGGTTGTCATTTTGATAGACGATCCTCTTAGGAAAAGGAATGTTTTGAAAGAGGAAAGCACCAAAAGCATTGCCGAGGTAGTGAATGTTCGGTAGCATGAAACCTTACAGTGTGGCCACATGATGGCACCATAATCTTAAGAACTGAAGGGAAGTGTGTGTACAAGTCTACTGTAATTGTTAGATGTTAGCTCTAGGTCACTAGGGCAGATCCCAAACACACTAAAAATTCTTTTGTATGCTTATTTATTTTAAAAGCACTTAAACTTCAAGGATTAGAGTGAATTGTGTGAGATAGTGCTTTCCCCATCTGTAAAAATAAACAAAACCAAATGCAATGACAACCAAAATAGCATATTTATTATTAGATTATTAGTGACAAGCAGTTAAGAACACTGGAGTTATCTTGATGGTCCTGTGTTATTTGATAGTGCTGGTTCTTAGTCCACTTGTAAAACCCTGAATTTGTCCTGCCTGCTCTTTCAGCATAATAGCAACCTGTTATGAAGAGGAATTTCTCTTCCTTTTTCATTCTTCTGGGCTATTCTGAAGAAAACAGGGGTGGGGGGGGAAAGGATCAAGAAGTCTAGCACACAAAAGTTAACCAACTTTAATGGATTGTGTAATACAAAATATTGCAATCTATTGACTGAGTCCTTAATTGAATGCACCAGCAGTGCTACCAAATACTGTGTTTTCTATTATCTCCTTGAATGTGGATCACAGTTCACTACAGTAGCTGAAATCTGGCTTATTTTCATTTGCTGAAGTGTGGTCCTTTCTCGGTGAAGTGATAGAAACTCTTGATAAGCTGCTGATCCACTGGGCCACCAATCTCTTAAGTTCTACCTCTTCCCTTTGGAAGCTGCTTGTTGCTTGGAAAGGTCCATGCTGTAGAAGAGAACACTGCAAAGGATTGGGGCTGCTTTTTGACATGCCTCTCGGAAAGCTTGTCAGTGTGCTCGTGCACGTTTGGTTGTTGTTCTTTGCACCTGCAGGGCTGGTCAAGGTACATAACCTGCCTGGCATCAAAGCCCTCCAGAGAAAGTAACTTCTTAAAGGCAAGGTGTCTTAGGGGCCAAATGAAAGTTCTTGTCAAGAGCAGGATAAAATATAAAAATATTTACATTAAGGTATTCTAGAAGGAAAAAAAAAAGCCAGCCTATCTAGAAGTTACTGCATGTAGCTTCCTATCTCTTTAAAAAATAAATGCATATATTTGTTATTTTATGCTAAAATTACCCAATTTCTGCTTATACTGATATAGTTACCCATTTTAAAAGCATGTACAAAGTCCAGAAAGTAACTGATGCAGAGAGTCTTAAACAAGAGTATGCAGCTGAAAATCTTGTAAAATAGAATGTGTGGTATACTTTTGTTACGCTTCCCATGTGGATGTAGTCCAAAAGTGGTGCTTAATATGACAAAACTGAATAACTTAAGTGGTTTGATAAGCAAAGATTTCCCTATTTCACTTCCTGCTTTCACAAGCACTTGGCAATGTAAAATCTCTTTGGGGCTGTTTGAAACATTTGCTTCTTTGAAAATATTCTTTAAAAGGCTATCTAGAGGAGTTGGGAAACAGAAATTGCCTTGCTGGATAAGAACAGCGATCAAAATATTCACTTTTAATTTCCTGTCTCCAGGGTTGTCCAAAACTATATGTCTTAGGGGAAATATAAGAAATGCTAGAAAGAACAACTTGGCCTAAATCAATTAATAGTGTGATTATGGTATGATCTTAAGCACGTGAGTATCCCCATATTTATTTCATCTTTTCTATGTGTTCAAGTGCTTTGCAGGATCTGAGCTTTAAGGGGAAGCCCAATCATATTTGACCATCGGTCTTACTAATTATGGAAGCTTTTGCTCTCTGTAAAACCCCTAGATGGCAGAAAAAAACATTATCATAGCCCCCAAATTATACCTGCTTCTAAAACAAAAAAGAGATGCTCTATGCCCTTGACTTTGTAGGACAATGAATATTTTTACTTATTCATATGTTTTGATAATTTAAATGTCTATAGCATATGCTTATCTCAAAAAACATCTGGGTCAACCCTGTTCAGAAATCATTTTCACACCTCTAATGCTGTTGTGGTTTTGCAGCCATTACGACTGCATTTATTTCATATTTTAAAGTTTTTCTCTTATGTAGGCTAGAAAAATGACAAGCAAAATCACTGCACTAAAAAGCTAAAACCCTATTGACTCGTTGTCCACATTTAACACCTAGTAGTTAAAACTATTATGAGAAAGATCCAAGAGGTTGGCACTCAACCATATGCAAAGGAAAATATACCTTGAAATATCAGTCTCTTCTAAATGTATAACATTTTCCCATAACACTTACAAAGATTCTGTATCGCAGACCTCAGTAATTTAGCATTATTTACAGAGATACACAACCAGGCTACTAAAAGATGTGACTGAGACTGAGTTTAAATGAGTGAGATACCTTGTATAAGGTACAGTCAAGAGATGTTTCCAAAGAACCGGTGTCAATTTCTAACCTGCAGTTCACTAGGAAAAAATCAGTTTATGAGCCTGCTAGCTTAGGCCCTCAGCCTTTGTGTGGTTTTGGGCCCTATAGTACAAAACTATGCTTTTACATTCACAAAAAAGCAAACGCTTTTTTTCCCTAGACTCCCACATTAGCATATCTAGGTAGCTAAATTGATACATCCTTTTCATTTATGTACAAATACCCAAATGTATGAGCAAATACAAGCTTTGGTAAACATGTATTCTGTGATCTGTTGCAGCTGTCTTAGAGCCAATATCCAGGACAGATTCTGCAGGCTTTCATCACAGACTTGATTTCACAAAAGTCAATTCCACTTTTTCGCTAGACACAACTTACAATGCAGCAGAAACTTCCTGTTCTCCAGTAGATTGTGTGTAGGTGGAGCTAGCCCGTTCAGCTGTGTCAACATAGAAAACGGGACAGTATTTAGAGAAGTGGAATGCAATCTGCTTTTGGAAAAAGCTATGAAGATACTTCCTAAATTTTTCTCCAGCAAAGGCATAAATTACAGGGTTGATACAACAGTGGATCATGGAGATTGTTTCTGTCACTTGGGTTGCTTTGTGCAGTTGACCACTGCCTTCACAAGTAGTGATGGAAAATGTACCTTGAAAATCACGCAAGAGAATGCAAATGTTGTATGGTGCCCAGAAAAAAAAGTAGACAATCATGATGATAAAAATAAGCCTGACTGCTTTATGTTTCTTCTCATTCCTGCACTGCAGTAATGTCTTTATAATTTGTGTGTAGCTACAGATCATAATTAACATTGGAATAACAAGTCCCAGGATGTTCATTTTTAAGGTCAGGAATTGCTTCCATGCATTTCTCTGCTCTGGTGGATAATGAGCACTGCAAGTATAACGTGAATTTTCCTTTTGAGTTTTGTGAAATACTATCCCAGGAACAGAAGCAAAAATAGCAACAGCCCAAGTGACAGCGCTGGTGAGGATGCCGTAGGTAACTGTCCTAGCTTTTAAAGCAAACACTGCATGCACTATGGCCAGATACCTGTCTAGGGTCAACAGGATTATGAAAAAGATCCCGCTGTAGAAGCCAAGCAGGTAGACACCTGAGAGAATTCTACACAGCGCTTCCCCAAAAATCCAGTCGTGAACAGCATAATAAGCCCAAAAAGGGAGAGAAAATATAAACAGCAAATCAGAAATTGCCAAATTGAGCAGGTAGATGTCAGTCATACTCTTCAATCTCTTGTATTTTACCAGGATAAGGACAACAAGCATGTTGCCCGTGAGGCCAAATATCACCACCAAAGAATAAAGCGGTGGCAGAAGTTTTGCTGCAAAGTGTTTTTCCTCAGTTCCTGGGCATGGCGTTGAATCGCTGTAGTCAAATTCTGTTGTCAGTGGCCAGTCGGCTAAGTCCATGGTATAGTTTTCCATGGTGTGTTGGTCTGGAAAGGAAGAAAAGGATGTTAAACTAGAGGAAACTCCAAGCTTGGCAGTGAGGGGAATGAAACACGCTGATGTCCTCATCTGGAATGCTTTTTGCTGCTGAGCACATAAGCATTACTGCGTCAATGTGTGGAAGAGAACGAAATTGCAGAGCTCCCAGGAAACCGATCTATATACCTGTGAAGTCACGCTGCTGCATGTTGGAAATGTGCTGGGTGTCGTTTCCTACGTGTATGCTGCCTGGTGCGTTTTTCCTCCTCAGCCTAGCCCGTCAGCTGCCTGACGCAACCAGAAGCAGAGGAATGATGAGTTCAGCCTGAGCAGTGGGTAGTTCAGGGCTGTTGTGCTCAGCAGCGGCTTTCCAAAGGGATGGAGCGAGCCAGCGAGGCAGCAGCAGGAAAGCAGAGCAGCTGGCACACAGAGCATAGCCGTGCTTCTCCTTGGGACCTGGCCACCTTCTCATCGTGCCAGCCCGTACTGTAGCCCGCACCCAGGGAGGACCAGGCACTGGCAAGGTGTAAGCCGGTGCCTGCAAAGGCGCTGTGACCTGGGCAAAACAAACTGACTGCCGCTTGTTCAGGTTGTTCATGACTTCCTGGGAGCCTTAATGCCTGTGGGAATTGGGTCACTGGAGGTGTGGAAATGACCTTTGCGCAGTACTAAACATACCCACCTGGTGGACCTGCTGTCCTGGGTGTTGCAGAGCAGCAAGTCGGCAGCGTTGGTCTGGTTAAAATGGTAAACGTTGTGTCCTTTACAGAGCCTGGGTCAGGCGTAGGCCATGGAAGCGTGCTGGTCTTAGGTGGCTCTGGAATGAAAACAGTGCGCAGTACTGTAGAAAGAACGGATAGGCAAACACCTCAGCAAATGGCATAAAAGGTGACAGTTGCTATCAGCGTGGCCTATAACACCTATATCTGTTGTGGCATCTTCCTGTGAATTGAAAGACCTCCCCAGTGCATCTGCGGGGATGAAAGAAGTTTTGACTCCTTGTTTCAGTAGCTGTTTAACAGCTGTGACTCAGGAGCTCCAAAGTTTAGATTGGCTAAGTGTCTCGGGGGGGGCACAAGGGCGAAAGGCAGACATGGCCATCGCTATGAGTGTGCACTAACAGTTCTTCATGTGCAGCGGTTGTTTTGCTATCGTCCTTCATCCTTTGTTAGTCACTGTTTCCTGTGAGGTGACATAGCCATTGAGGAAGCGTAAGGGTTGCCCAAACTCCCTGTCCCTCCAGTTTTGGTCTGGGGACTGTTGCGGGGGACTGGGCTTCCCTCGCAAGAAGGAGTCACAGCCTGGGAGGTAAGCTGTGCAGCAGAGCTGTGACAGCCCTCAGGCAAGTTCTGTTACAGTGGGAGCAGGTAAAGGCTTGCGACTTTGATGTCAGCCCCTCCTGCCACCAAACCCTCCCCCTTTCCCAAGTCCCTGGTAGGACTGTGAGCCAGGTGCAGAAGCATAGCTTTGTGTAATTTGGTCTCTGGAAAGTTGAGGAGATCTGTCTTCTCACACACTCCTGGAGAAAATGGAAGAATTCCTGCGTGTCCTGTGAGAAGCCGGGAAGAGGATTTTGTGAAGACGGGTGTCAGAGGGACCAAACGTGCCTCCTGGTCACTTAGTGGGGAAGTGAAATCCATGCGTTTGGTAGCCGCGTAAATAGAGCTATTTGCTGTCTGGTAAAAGGGCTGCTTTTTCTTCCTGTGTCATCATGACTGCTTTTGTCAGGCACTTCACGGCAGATTGGTGGCTGTTCGTAGCAGGTTGATGGTTTTGAAATCTTTCAAAGCTTTCATGAAGCTCTGGCAATCTCTGTGAAAAGTTTTTTTCCACAGCCTTACTAACTACATAGTTACTACAATACTGAGATAATGGTTTTGTTGGTAAAGGAAGTGGCTGTGGCTCAGGTGTACTGACAGTAAATAAACTGATTTTAGAGTATCTAAGGGTTTATATTTCTTAAGTACTTTCAGCAACTCTTTTAGAAAAAAAACCCACCTTTCTAAAAGTCTCTTTGGTCCAAAACATTAACTTCTTTATTTCAAAACATGACAGAGTTGGGCACTGCGCAAATATTAATATTCCCTTCAGCTAGATCTGCTAGATCTATGTTGCATACCCTGACAGTACAAGTCCCTGGTACTGCATATAGCTAAATATCCCCATTTCCTATGTGTCAGTCAGCCATGCTGTATGCTGGGATTGTGGGATGAGGGACTGGCTGCAACACAGTGCCAGACCCAGCACATCCTGTCTTGATCATTTTGCACCTGCATGATGCTCACGCATAAACATAGATATGAAAAACACCAGGGTCATAAACCCAGAGTGGGATTTTATGAGTATGTGATTGATAGGATTTATGCAAATATTATTGCAAAATGCTACCTCAATATTATTGCAGTAATTCTTTTCACGACAGCCCCTTCTTCCTGCTAACTGCTATCTCAATGCCTTCCCTCCTTTTCCTCTGCCTTCTTGGAATGACAACCACATCTTCCCTGCATCTTATCTTCTTTCAACCCTTTTTGCATGCTTAAATTGATCTCCCCTCTGAGTGGTTCCTTCTGCTAACTGAGCCCCATTCCTCTAGCCTAGCCTTTGCTTCTGAAGCCTCTCTCTGCAAAAGTACGTACTACCCTGAGTTGTATATAGTCTCCAGCACATGCTGACAATGGAAACTACAGATGCTAATTCGGAAACCAGAAAAAGGAATTGTAAGTGGTTTTGTGCTTTATCCTATAATCTCACTGTTTTATAAAACAGTGTTGGCCACTGGCTAGAATGCTTCACCGGATTAATCACCCTGGGTTGTTTATCTAATTAAGAGATATCTGACTGGGCTTATGTTTCCTGATCATTAGGAAAAAACCCCAAAGATAATCCTGGAAGATCTCTGAAGAAAGGGTATTTCAAAAAGAGGTCTATATTATTTTGAATACAGTTTAGATAAATGCAATATTTCTAGAAATCTGCAATCTGCTATACAAATTCTGTTGCTCTGGTTGAGACTAGCAGTCATGCAGTTTTCAAGAGAAAAGCTCTCCATAGAAAAGCTGAGCAAACTCATGTCACTGTTTCATGCTGAGTTTCAGGTCAGAGCTCTCTGTTTTTAAAGAGGCAAAGATTTTATTAAAGTGAGTTTCAGTTCATTTGCACAGTGCTATAAAATGGTAACAATTAAAAAAGTGTAGTAAACAGAGGTAAAATGCTAAGCTATGCTGTGTGTGAACAGGTTCCATGAGACAGAGTGTTTAAAATACAACATCAGATTTTCTGTAGTCATCCTGTGAGAAGAATAAGTACTCTTCACTCAAATAAGCTGTTCTGTCTTTGCAGTAACAGTTTTAACATCCAAATTTCCATCATTATATATCATCTTCAGAGAAAAAGAGAGGCATACTCCATTATATTTCTTACTCAGATCAATCTCTAGAGATTTATTTCTTTGCTTGCCTGGATCCCCTGCTCAAGTCATCTAGTGGTTCTGTCCTTTAAAAGTAGTGTATTCCATTTAACATATCCTATGCATTTCCCCAGGGTAATTTTTAAAGATGAGTACACTGGCAAGATTCCACAAGTGTTTTTCACCTCAGACATTAGACTACCTAAGCAACTTTTAAATGTTAAAAAAAAAAAAGAAGCAAAGATGACTTACCATATATCTTATGGTTTAAGTGATGGCTTGGATTATTACATTAAGAGTAACCCTAAACCGGTGTGTCAGTCACGAGAAGAAGGTCAAAACCACCTCTTCCTGCATGAAGAAGGATGTATCAGTTTGAAAACTTCTAGCAAACAAATCTGTTTTCATTTAAAAAAAACTCAAGGAGCAGTTCTCTTTTTTCTAAAAATGGGTCATCAGATGTTACTTTTCTAACTCTGTGAGATGTGCAGAGATGTTGAAATTGTGGAGGATCCTCCTAGGAGCTGAACTCAAAGTTTCACAACCCACAACTGTAGTTTTAGAAAAAGGTTTTTATATCGTCGTTTTCTCTTTTTCATTTAGCTAACCTCTTTGAATCAAGAACAGTTTACATGAGGTTCATCCCTTTACATTTCTCAATCGTTAAATTTCTTTTATGTTTTTTGTCCCTGAACAAAAAGTGGAGCTTTTGAACAAAGCTTACACTTCTATTCAGAATTACCTGCACTTTCTTTTGGCTTGCTCTGAGTTGTAGTCGTTATATTTTAGGAGATTTGATTGATTATATTTTTCTCTAACCTGGTCTTTTGGACTGTGTTTTTTATTTTAATCCCTCTCATAAGACTATGACTTAGTCTATATAGTGAGTCTGACCTTCTTTTTAAACAACACTGTTACTTACTTTTTGGAATTAAGCTTCAGAAAAGCCTGATAGAATCTGATTTTTATCAACTTATTTCCTTGTGGCTGATTCCTGTGACTTGTAGAGTTAAACTGAACCTGCACCGTGAGCAGCTTTTTAGATCCTTCTTAGACATCAAAGAAACCACACAGGAGGTAGGAAAGGTACAGAGAAAACGAGAAAGAGACGGTGCCTTATCAGATGCCTGAGAATCCCTGAGAGAGAAACCCTGAGAAGATACCTAATAAAGTGCAACCCCCTGCCTCCCCTTGACATCTCTTTGGAGAGTTCTGGAGTATCTCATCCTCTCAACCTAGCGAAGGCACTAAAGGGATGTCTTTCCTGCACTCAGTCCTTAGTATCCTTAAAAGATTTTAAAATGCCAAAAACCCAATGGAGATGTCTTGCTTTGGATGCTGCCATTCCTTAATGGAAGTCAAGGGAATCACAGCTTCTGAGTTAGATCTCAGATCTGGAGGGAGACAGTAAAAAGCAAAAAGCTCAGCCTGTTTTCCTTGTCAACCCTTCTTTGCATGAGGGACTAATCAAGGTCTTTATTCCATAGGATCAATAGATTTTTCTCTTCCTTTCCTAATCAGCTGTTCCAATGAGCTCTCTAAGGGCTGGAGTCTCAGCGTCAAAATTAATGGCCACTGTAAGGTATTCTAAGGGTATGTTCACACTACCTTACTTGATGGACTGTATTAGACCCCCTATACAGTCCATGGAAAGAGCTGCTTCTAAAAATGTTTCCACTACACCTAAATCAAGCTCCTAATTGCTGCCAAACTTTGCTGAAAAGAACTGCACTTTTATCATGAATTCTTATAATTCTCAAACAATGTACTGTATCAAATTAATTTTTCAATGTATAATTCCTAAAATACATACTGAAATTAACAGACATTTTAAGGATTTCTTTCTGAAGCCTGCTTCATTGTTCACTGTTTGTTACATGTTACTGAACCTACTGGAGACTCTAAAACCTTTCATAATCTCACGCTATATGAACAGGGGAAACAGTCTCAAACCTGTTGTTGGACTTGCCTGTTTTTCATCAAGCTTTTGATTCTGAAATATGCTCTCACAAAACTGGTCTCAAACTTTTGAACTAACAACAACAGCTTAAAACTAAGACCTGTGCTAGGCTGGTCTTCAGAAATAGTCCCTTGTTCCCACAGATTCACTGGCTTTATTAATCTATTTGATTTTGTTGCTTATAGCTTTTCATTCTCATAGCTCAGTCTGATCAGCAAATGTAGCTTGGTATTTAATTTACTGATTAGCACCGTAAGATTGCAGAGGGTGTTGCATGCCAACAGAGGGCCTCTGCCACTCACGGTTATAGCAACTGACTAAGGGGAATGGTTTTGGTCTGCTCACCGTCTGGGTCTTACAGCGGGATGAGAGACTCCCCACAGAGAGTGTGAATAGCTATGACACTTGGCAGCCCAAATACAGGGACACACTGGCAGCAGGCACCTGGACTGCGACTTTATTATCAGCACCTA